CTAACACTCATGCCATACCTGATCGATAGGAAGACCTGTGCTGGTGGACAGGGGTTTGAATAGTAGGCTACCGGTGTAGACCTGAGCACCACTTCGGGTGGACATTGCGTTTGCGATCCAATCGGTCGACAGTTTGCCTCTTATTGTGACGAAAAGCACAACAAATATGTCTTAACTCTGATTATAAGCGCGATTATAATGGCATTGATTTCATACACAATTCAGTAGTAATTATGTAATCAAATAATAATGACTATAATAAACGGGTCGTTGATTTTATATTTGGCCACAAAATGTGTGTTATATTTATTGTAATTATTAAAAAAACACAAATATTTTCCTATTTATTAAATCATGCAAACACTTCAAGTGAACTTTTTTATATACTTTGCTTATTAATATTTAACTAAAACTTGAATCTTAAAAATATATATAATTTCATAATTTGTTCACAAAATATTTATTTCGCTTATTATTCACACTTTTATATATCATACGAAATAAAAACAACAAAACTTTGAAATAATCAAAAACTTATCACTCATTAACTGGAAAACGTGTGCACTTTATATACAGCGGTGTAGTCCTAGTAAATGATGAACACATAGACAGCTAATTGTGGACACTGTATGTGTTGACCACTCATTTCAATTGTAATCATAAACACATAACACAATTGGTTTGAGCACTGATTGCCTGCATTTCGATGCAATGTTTGTGTTTGTGTTGCTGTCTGTCAGTCACTCCCTCTCACTCTCTCTCCTTTCAAACCAACACTTTTCACATACGGTGTGACGGAAGGGGTGGGCGCTCGACAGGCACTGGTGGTCGCCGGGGAATCATCCGTAACGGCTCACCCGTAATCGTCTACATAAATTGTACCCAATGTTCAACACTTAATATATTAGCAAGGTTATTATACAGTATAAAAACTGCGACAAACAACTATTTCCTATAGACTCTACAATACACAGGTTTACGCTAATGTATGGTATGTTCAGTAGAATGGGTGCAGAATATAAAGAATTTTATCAAAAGAATTGTAAGAAATTTACTAATTTTCGAGGCGTTTATCACTTCATTGTTTGCATTTATATTGCAATAAATTGCTTNTAGACTCTACAATACACAGGTTTACGCTATTGTATGGTATGTTCAGTAGAATGGGTGCAGAATATAAAGAATTTTATCAAAAGAATTGTAAGAAATTTACTAATTTTCGAGGCGTTTATCACTTCATTGTTTGCATTTATATTGCAATAAATTGCTTCAAACCAAGCGCTCAATTCATGTAATTTCGATATTTATTCCCAAATATTACATCGAAATCGTGTCATTAGTTAATGTTTTCTCATTACATCCCAGAATTGATGTCAAGATAAGTTTTAAGAGATTTAATAATAAAAAATTGCATTTATTTGTGCCATAAAAGCGGACAAATTTTATGCACAAACCAATAAAAAGCGAATAAACATTTCATTTACTATTCACCACCAAAATGACTGTACAATTTCGCGAATAGCCGTAAAATTGTTATAAAACAAACATATTGTACGGTATAATATTGTGTGTTTATTGCTAACTTGTAAGTCTATCATTGTGCACCGGGTGTTCTCTCTCTCTCTCTCTCTCTCTCTCTCTCGACAGGATTTTCTATAAATATATGTCATATTCAGTGATCGGTATATTTAGACTAAAATTGAAGGACAGTACGATTCTGTAAAATGAATTCTCACTCAAATTTTGAACAAATAAATAAATTTCAGTTCTCAAATATAGATCACATTTGACTTGAGTTACTTATAAAATAAACATAATGTCTTAAAATACTATGCAATTCTTAAAATAACACCAATACTTACTGTACTACTCCTAATTGAGAGTCAACTCGCAGTCGTTTATAATTTATTGGTCACAGAATTTATTTGGATTTAATGTCAAAGTGTAAATCACTAGTAAATTACATGACTAACTCGTAAGTTATATAGAAAACGCATAATTTATACATAAATTTGTAAAAAAATAAATAACATCAATATTTGTTCAGAATTATACTACTGTTCACAACAAATCGGCGACTGGATTGCATGAACTTTGGATAAATGTCAAAATAAAACAATTAAATTAAACAAATTAATTTCATACTAAAAGGGACGGGAGCCGGAGGACTGGAGTATCAGTGAGCGGCGAGTATTGAAAAATATAAGATCCTATGAATTGTCAATTCGACTATAATATTGGTTCAAACAATTGAATTGTTTTCACTGTACTGTACTTTGGTATTCAAAAAACACTTAAAAAACAAACGAAACATTATATTATATTAAATTGAATTGAGTGGAGATTATTGGCTTTTCTCATTGTATCGGTTCCTAAGCGTATGGCTGTCCTGAAGACTCAGCGTTCGGTTGTGCTGTTTCTTAAGCTTATTGGCGGCCACGGAGGGGTCATCAGTGGCACCGGTAGTTGTGTACTTAGCCCACCAAATACACGCAGATATACACGCGACGCTCAGAAGCAACTATTAAACGCAAAAACAAAAGCAATTCATTTCAATAACAGTATTAAATGAAATCCCAAACGCAAGTCAATCCCCAATCCCACGACTCACCTGAACGACGAGCCATACGATAATGTTTTGGATCTGGGTTTGTGCGAACAGATTCAGTCCAAACTTAATACATATGAGCGCTTCGGTCAGCATCACGGCGCCAAACACCCAGCACTGTGTGCCCACCCGTTTGCACCGACTGTCCGTCACGTACGTGTAGTATTGGCGTATAGACGGGGCGACTATGAGACCCACGAGTCCTATGCGACCGACGCACAGGGGATGGTCGGGCGGGATGTCGAAGATGTGTTTGAGAAAAAATGTGTTCAATTCAGTCAACTGCCAGAAGATGACCAGTTGGGTGACGGCCAGGAAGCGGACGTACGTGCGGGTTGGGTCGAACCAATGCACGTGCGTCCACTCCACGGGCGTGAACTGTAGCAGCGCTCGCCTTATCTTCTGCGACGTCGACTTAATCTCTCTGTTTTGGGACACAAATTGTCGTGAAATACAATCACACCTAACATTCGCTTCAAATGAGTGCTCACTTAATGCTCTCCCACTTGTATGTCCGCATCTCCAGCATCCGACAGATCCACATCCCGAACAGTATTCCCAATCCTTGGGCACACAATTCACGAGTCAGTCAATGAGTGACACGCATAGGGGGAGGGGAGGGAACAGACAATGGGTGCCTACCGTTGCAGACAATGACGTCGAGCACAATGGAGTCCCACCAGCACTCGGCGAAGTTGGGCAGGAGGTGCGCGAACTGCATCTCTGTTATCTCCCACGTGACTGATATCGTCCAACAGATGCCGTAGTGGCGGACGAGCATCGCCTTCATAGTCCAGCCCAAGAAGTGGCCCCAAGCGAACGCATCCATCGTCTGCCACACCCTCTCCACCGTTATGTCCGAACAGTTGTACGCATATTGCTGTCAATGATAGTGGGATCAGACCATTGCATCAGATAATACGACTTTTAATTGTCGGCCAATTCAATAGAGTCTCACTTTCTCGGAGTCGATGCGAAAGGACTGTAAGTCCGGATAAAACCAATACATAATGGACTTCACGGTCTTGTAGTTCTGGAACAGTATATACAGTAAAGCCATTAAATACAAGACACTTAAGCCGAAGATGAGTCGCCAGACGGCCGGATGGGGTCGAGTGAAGGGGCCGTTAGGGAAGGCCAGCATCGATATAATCAGGAAGAAGAAGACGACACACAGTAATCCACTCCACGTGTTGTCCTCAACGGCACTGTCATCGCGAGTGAAGGCCGAGTAGAAGACGAGTACAATAGAGACCGTCAACAGTGAGATGGTATGCGGTCTGTAGAAGAACTCCAGACTTATGTCATCGACGGGTCGCTCATTGATGGCATAGAAGTGATTGTTTATGTCGTAGAAGTCGGCCGTAGAAGTGCCGGTCGTGTCGGTGCCGCTGCGGTGTTGGCGCCGATGATTGGCGGTCAACGGCCGCCGATCTGATCCATTGTCTTCATTCGCGGAGTTGTTCGTCATGGCATCCAATAGACTAACCGCCCCTTTCATACACCAGACCCTCGCAAGTGGTGGCGAGTATTGTATGTCTTTTTAAGTCTCTTATCTTATCAGTCGATCTGAAAGAGATAATTACGAAACAAATTGTCGGATCAGATGACGACAAAGGGATAGACAGGTAGACACACACCTAATCTCTCTGTGCATGCAATCACACGCCGACTGTCATCTCAATGGCGTCAACACTCTTATAGCAGATCCAGTGGTAATGAATTGAGTCATAAATGAGACCTAAAACTCAATTAAATTATAAATTCATTTCAAATTCAATTCACTTTTGGTTTCGTTTTTGTATTTTTGTCTCTCATTTAAAGGGACAACACTTTCCTTCAATATAGTACGAGGTATGTGAATAACCCTCCGTTAGATTGCTGTCTAAATGACACTCAGTTTCATCAATTTATGGCTAACTATAGCATTGAATGTATTGCGATCGTTATAACGAGTAATTAATTTAGCTTGCAAATAAATTATCATAACTAATTAATATTAATTACAGTAATAAAATTATAAATAATTTATATGTCCACACGTTTCTTATGTATAATTATATCCAAATACAACGTGTTATCAACTGATTATTGTATAAATAAATCATACGGTAATCCCAATACAATTCACATGCACTCCGTTATAAGGGGAGCAGTAATTTGCAATTATTGTGTAACAGTATATACTGACATCTTATTTAAAAGGTTTTCTGTTTGTTTACAAAAAATGCATTTCATTTGAAAACATGTTTTCAGTCAAACTTTTATCGCAATTAGCTTTACGTTCAGCTAATTGTCAATCAATTGTCAACCAATTAATCGCCAAAAACAGACAATTACTTCACCGCCAAAGATGTGATACAAGCAGTCGATGTCTTCGGACAAGGATTATCTCAAACACGGGATCTCCGGACGAAAGGGTACCGCAGATGACAACTGATCCGACGGACAGCCACTCTATTAACAGCAAAAATCTGTTGGATTTGTTGGAAATCAGAGACAATCCGAAGACCAATCGGCGGACAATCGACGCGTTGAGCGAAGACATCGACAGCGAAGTGTTGGATGAGTTGAGTCCAGCGATCGGCCGGTCCTTCAATTTGGCCGCTTTTGCCGACAAATCGGAGACAATCCAAGCGCTCATCAAATTAGGCGTCGATTTGGCGCTCATCGAGAAGAAGTCACCAAAAAATGCTGAATATCTGCTGAAACTGGACTTCGAGGTGGACATCAAGCCGTACCTCCAGTTCCTGGTGGACACCGGGGTTGTGGCGTCCGATTTGGGCCATTGGGTGACCAAAAACCCGCGTATTTTCAGCGAACATATGGACGACTTGAACGTTAGACTCAATTATTTGAGTTCAAAGAGGTTTACCAAACAAATGATAGCGTCGGTGGTGTCCAAAGCGCCCAAATGGTTGAGCAATGACACCAAAACCATCGATTATAAGCTCGGATTCCTTCAGAAGGAGTTCCACTTAACCGCCGATGAACTGAGACGTCTGGTCACCAGTTATCCCAGAATTGCTTTATTACATGACATGGGGTTTCGGGTATAATGTCTTTCTCTATGATTTGCCACTTATTTGTAGTTTTCATTCATATATTGGTCTCAACTCTCATAACAGGACATAACGTTTGCTTTCAAAGAGGAGTTTGGCTTCACTTCGGATGAAATCAAAGAAATGTTAATCAAATCTCCGGTTATATTCAGAAAGTTAACCGCAGAGGAAAAGGGTATTCAATGAAATCATTAATTATTTTTGCGATCATTTACTGAAACCGTAATAAACTTCACAAAATACTCTCATTTCTCACACAACAGGGCACCGGATGTTTGTGAAGATATTTGATTTGATACACAATGAGATGAAAATACCGCACGAATTGATTTGCAAATACCCGGACGTATTCAACAGACGGTACCCACTGATCGAGAGCCGGCATCAGTACCTGAAAGCCATCGGTCGCGACCAGTACGACCCCAAACAGCCCCTGTATGTGCCGTTAAGTGCTTTCTATTTGTTAGAAGACGATGAGTTTTGTGACAAATACGCCAAAACCAATGTTCAGGACTTCAATAGCTTTTTAAAAACACTGTAAACATTAGTGACAATAAACAAACGTTTATTATAATTTAAACAGTATTCAATTTAATTAATCCAATACGAGATCTTACTACTCATTACCACAAAAAAATACCAACAATTCATTCAAATAATTATTTATTTCAATTAATCCTTCAAATGGCGTACAATTGGTAGTCGGAGTAAATCGATGACAAAAACACAAAAATCAATTTAAATACAAAATTCAATTTTATTAGACCACAAAATCATTGCTTAAATCATATTCTTGAGCAATGCGTTGATCTTATCCTCTCGGTTACCGAAGTCTCCGCCCTCCACATAGTGGACCACTTTCTTACGCCATCCGCCCCTCGGGTTATTCAGCTTGAAGTACCACAAGAAGTTGTTGGCGTACTTGAAGTTGGGTCCGACGGTGTAGATCTCGTGGATCAGGTCCTCCATGCAGATGATGCCCCTCTTCCCGAGCCGCT